ACATGGATGGATGGATACATGGATCCTGGATGTATAGATGGATGGTGGATGAAGAGATGCAATGAAGGATAGATACACTGTTGGAAGGATGGATGGATGGATGGATAGATGAAAATACATGCCTGGATACATGGATGCTGGATGAATGGATACAATGAAGGATGGATAGATGGATACATTGATGGATGGATGGATGGATAGATGATGGATGGATGGATAGATAATGGATAGATAATAGATGGATAGATAAATGATGAACGCATGGATAGATGAAAATACATGGATGGAAGGATCGATACATGGATGTTGGATGGATAGATGATTGACAGATGACAGATGAATTGATGGATAGATGAAAATACGTAGATGGATGGATCAATGGATGCTGGATGGATGGATAGGTGACGGACAGATAATGGATGAATGGATGGATAGATGAAAATACATGGATGGATAGATACATGGATCCTGGATGTATGGATGGATGGTGGATGAAGAGATGCAATGAAGGATGGATACATTGTTGGATGGATGGGTGGACAGATGAATGGATGGACAGATGCACTGGTGGAAGGATGGAGGGACTCATCTCTGTGGTGTGAGGAGCTCTACATGTACAGAACGTTCAGAGACCCTGAAGGAGCTGAAACACTGAGTTTAAAACGAGCTTAAATGACTGAATATTTCGGTCCAGTGCGACTCACTGAGCTCGTTAATGAGATTTTAATGTGTCCTCGCTCAGCGTCCTGTGCTGGACAGTACTGAGCTGTGTATCCTGTGGAACATTATTCCTTCCTTTAGGAAGTGACCACTGCTGAGTGAACAAAGCCTTGGCCTGATTTCAGCCGAGCGTGTTTACGGCAGACGGTGATGTTCTTACCTTTTACTTTTGTATCTGAGCTCTTAGTGTCAGACTGTTTGATCTCATTTGTTTTTCCCTGAAACTCTGCCACAGCGCAATTTCACATGCAAAAGAAGCAGAGAGAGATCCACCCTGTGTGTGTGTGTGTGTGTGTGTGTGTGTGTGTGTGTGTGTGTGTGTGTCTGTGTGCGTTATTTACTGTAGTAAGCCCACACTAACACAGTTCCTACAGCACCAGCAAAATCCCAGGTAAACTTTGTTTGTATAATACATATTATTTACAATATCTAACACATAAGAGACACATTATCATTGAAGAGAACATACAGGTTTCCTTTATGTGTATATGTTTCGTGTGTTTGTGTGTGCCTCTGTTATGCATGGGCGTGTGTGGGATTACTTGAGTCTTCCCATGAGGAGTGTGTGTGTATGTGTGTACGTGTGAAGTTGGTAGACTGGTTCCTCAAACCAGGACACAAAGCTGGCAGTGTGAGAACATCAGCGTTCTTATTGCACTTATTCACATCGATAAGAGCCCCATTAGAAACTGTTACTGCTGTAAAAATACACAGAAACATTGATCTGAAGGTTTTGCGATGTTAGAATCCATGAGAATTTGTTATGAAGTATAGTTTTTTCCTTTTTGGTGGCCAAAATAAAATTCTCAGGAAGCTTTCAAACAGTCTTCAGCTGCATATGTGAGTGAGCTTCAGTCTGAAAGTGGGTTTCTGTAAAGTTTTGAGGAAGAACTTAATTATGTAAACACATAATGTAAGTTTTGGGGATTTGGAGACCTCTCTGGTGGAAATATGTAACTGCACACAAATTGTAATGTGCTCAGAAATTTGCGTGATTCCGGGGTCTGTATCTCTCATTCCCTGAAGGCCAGCGTTGCGATCCAGGGTTTGCTGTAAAGGGCGTGTCATGCTCTACTGACCTGTGGAGTTTGGCTTGTTGCAAAGCGCTCCCTTCTCCTGTGGTTTTATTCATTACATCATCAGTACGGCGGCTGAGAAGACCCAACAAACTGCAAATGAAAACGAGCTGCAAAACACAGAGAACACTCATCAAAATGACAACATGGGTGCTGCACTTCATGAACATGCTGCAGATACAGAAAACCCTTTCATCAACGTGGTTATATCAGAGCTACATTTCACAAACGCACTGCAAATAAAGAAAACACAGCTCCAGCTTCAGAAACACCGCAAAGCCAGTCACAACACAACAGAAACCTTTCTGGAAGACTCACCGTGGATGGAATATGTATGATGGAGAATCACTGAGAGAAGCAAACAAGACCACAGACACTCGGACACTCCCAGGTTCATGGTTAGCCTGGCTAGTTTGCTATCTGACGTGTCGTAGCTGTGCTGTGGTCGTTAATCTGCTGTTACTCGTTAATCGTTTACAGTTACTCTCTACAGCTGACTCCCATTACCATACAGTGACAGTCATAATCTGCTCAAATAAAAGGTAACTAACTTTTACCGGTGAATGTTTGTGTTGCGTAGAATTTAAGAGTCTGAATGTCTCCGTCCTCCGGAAACGTCTCCGCTTTGTTGTGACTGGATTATCAGCGTTTCTGCAGTTGCGTTTCTGAAATGTAGCGCTGGTGTCGCTGTGTTGACAGTATTT